AAAACCTTCAACAAACTGCTTATAAAAGGACGCCGAATCACGATTCGTTGGGGCCGACCTCAATCTCAACAGAGTATCATTGGTCAGCTTGCAGAAGGTGTTCAGCAATTTGAACCCGTTCCTGGCATTCCTGCAGGTAGCTACTACATGTTTCAGATGACACCCACATTTCTTTAATGTAAATCAATTTAGCGCTTCCTGCATTTGACTTTTTCAATTTGGTCGATATTCCAGAAGCGAAAAGACAGAAGACGGATAACGGCCCATCTACATTAGGTAATTTACTATTTTTATGAAGGCATTCAAATTATCTTCATCTTTTTAGGCACTAGGCAAAGTTTTCCTGTTGGCATTGCAACACCTCATGCTGTTCCGTGCGTGAGTCAAATTCCTCCTCCCCTCAGACCCCCTACAGGACTTCCTCCTCTGGCACCACCACCAGGCGATTCCAAGATTGGTATTCATTATCCAAGTCAAGATCCACAGCTTCTTGGTGCAAAGCATCTCACTGACTGAGTTCATCCCATCTTGTGTGGTGCTGGATATGGATGAACTGATTTGACGTATAACTAATATTTCCTTGTGTGAACAGAAAGGGCATGTTGTAGCATACTTTTCAAGTGAACCCTTCTCTCTAAGGTTTTAACATCGTCGTGACATTGTGGACGACCAGTGTTACAGAAACAGCCTTGCTACGTCAGCAACTCCGAAGGAATAACAGGTTCTGAAAATGAATAAATGTTTTATGTCGTCGTTATGCTGCAGATTCGTAATTTAAAATTATCGCTACCTAAAAAGCGAATTTAATTATATAATGGACTGTCAGGGTAGAACTTTGATACATAGATCTGTTCAGTGACTGTAGGTTTTTCTTTTACTTGGCGATCCCTTTGAAAATAGTATTTGCAAAGCCTGATTTTTAGAAAGTGCTTACTATCGAACATTATAAAACTACCGTAGCTGCATTTCAATAACAATTGCCGTCAATACAATATTTGCACCTTTGTCACTTCATTAATGAAATCAGACATGATTCAACGGCGGAGTTTCCTTCGAGCAACTAAAATTTGTCTTTTCGGCGCTGACGCGGTAAGTGAGCTTGTGAATACGTTAGTGGTAGGAGGCATCGCCGAGGGACCGGAACTGTAAAAACATCGATGTGAGTGTGACCAACATAAATGATAAATTTTACCAGAACTGAAATGCATTCGACTGAGGTGCTTCACTTTTAGTGAATGAAGTAGTCGGTTGTGTGGCGGCGGTAGACGAAACAGTAGAGGCACCTGCGCTTCCAAAGACGAATACAGAACCGACAGGGGTGGTGGAGGCTAAAAAGCGATATAATTATTAATGTGCTGAAACTATAGTCGTTCAGCACCGAACCTGAACCGAACTGAAACACACCCTGCGTCGCTGGTTGGACTGTCGACTGTTGTGACGGTACCACGTTAGATACTAACGAAGAGGTCGTTCCGAAGCCAGTGAATTTTGAGTTTCCGAAGCTGAAGAGCGGAACAGCTGAAGACGTGGCGTTTGCTGTTGGAGCAAAGTTGAAGCTCACGTTCGCTGGAGCTGGGCTTTGCCCGAAATGGAAGCCAGAGGAAGAAACTGAAATTAAACATGTGACGATAATCATGGACAGTCACTAACTAACCAGTAGCGGGTTTTGTCATCGAATCCGCCAGCGCTGTTGATTTAGAAGCGGCAGCCCCAAAGGAAAACAGTGGAGATGAAATAGAACCGGAGAGTGAACTTGTAGTCTGTGCACCAAAACTGAACCCCCCAAAGGTGCTAACATTTGACGGAGCAGAAATGATAGGCGGTAGCGTGGAAGTACTTTGAGTGGCGGACATCGAAAACTGGCTTCGAAACACAGGTTGACTACCAAACTGCACGGTATCTGTGGGTACTACCGGAATAGCGCCATCGAATGAAATGGGCTGCTGAGCGAAGGGAATACTGGGAGCTGCTGGAGCACAAGAGTTAGCGGCTTTACTTGATTCAGATGTCTGCCCTGTAGTAAACGGGCTTGTAAATGTTGGCTTAACAGATTCAGGAGAAAACATCTAAATTAGAAGACGATAAGCAGTATAACGAATAATCGAATACAGTTACACAAAATACGTTTTATGAAATTAGCATCATATACCAGGCACTCAACCAAGATGCTTGATGTCTTGCATCCATAAAAACGATGCTCAATCGAATCAATACATTCCTCACTTGACCTCGACCTTCTAAACGCAAGAGAAACTCCCTTTGCTCTTAAAAGAAAAAAACTTTGTCGGCACGCTACATTGGTAGAAGTTCACAGAACG